GCTTAAACTTCTGTATTACAGTACATGGCACAAAAAAAAACTTATAATAGCTGTTACAAGCTTGAAAACATGGATTAGTTTATTGAATTATTTGGTAATATTTTAGGTAATTGATTGTATTTTACAATATCAGCGGAATTCATTCACAGATGCCAATCACCTGTTTTCATAAATTAATTACATTAAACTGTCAAACAGACTGTTATCCCTAGAAACAAAACTTTGCTATTGTCTGCTGTGATGAAAGACAACCTCATGCCAGCTTGGATCAGCCTCATGCCAGCTTGGATAAGAGAACACATAAAGCAATACATTTTGTTTTTAGCGTATCAGTCACAAAAAATCAATAGAGAAATGTGTAGGGCTGGGGTATACATAAAAATGTGTGAAACCACGTGTGAATCCAGGGAAAACGTTTATTTTTTTACAATGCACTTGTCAGACCTACTTTAGAATATGGTGTTTAGTTTTGATCACCATACCTCTACAGATATTTTAACCTTAGAACGAAGAAGAATAGGAATGAATTCTGGCCTCAGGGTATCGTGAAATATAGACAGGTTATGGGAGCTAAATGTCCTCAGTCGAGAACAAAGGAGATTAAGGGAAGATTTGATTCATGTACATATGATCTAAAGGCTCTAGAGATAACCCAGGGGAGTAGTTCACACTCAGTAATGAAACAAGAACATAAGGTTTCCCAGTTGGAAACTAAAAAGAAATTCAGTTAGGAGAGACCAAAGGAACCTTTTCTTTACACACAGAGATGTAGAACAGGATTTCCAGCCAGGTGGTTGAGGTCTGAACTCTGAGTACTTTTAAGAAACCGCTGGACGAACTTTTAGTTTAACAGAGCTGCTGAACTATCAAACCATTGTTTACATCCATTATAATATTCCTATGATTTTCCTATGTTTGGTTTTCTGGCTGGTATAATATACCTTAGTGGTGATGCATTTCGTCACCAAATTGCTGAAACATAGGACGGCATACACAGTTTGACTTTAAAAAATCATTTGAATACCTTACAAGAATGCTTCCCATTATTGTGCAATTACATGTAACTAAAAATAGACAATGTATTGTCTAACACTTAATAGATGTGTGCAGATTAGAAATTAAGTTCTCGTAGCAAGACCGTTTTGCTGGTGTACATGAAAGTCAAGATACTTATTAAATATTATGTGTTTGTAATCTGACTCTATTTACGAATCTAAAATGATTTTATGGACAAAATAATTAGTCACCACACTGTGTATTTTCACCCAGATCCTTTGTCAATACAAATGCTAGTAAAATTATTCTGCACATTTATGTGTCAATGCTTTCCCAACCTAGATCAAAATGTTGTATAATGCATTCAATTGTACATCTGAGTTGTTCTTAAGAGAAGGATCAAATAAAGGTTTGACTGCAAACCCCAAACTTTTTGACTTATAATAGACCTTAATAGACCTGAAAACTAAGAAAAACATTCTAAGTGTATGGAACCCAGTCCATTCAAATAAAACAGGTTTGATTTTTGAAATACTGACTACAAGAGCTATGCTAAACTTGTATAAGAACCAGATAAGTTATCAGAATCCAAATACTGCTCATAGCCCCTTTATCTTTTCTGTAAATAAGAGCTGCATATTCCCAGAATTGTAAAACACCAGCCTACAGCCCTAACTGAACCTTGGCTGAAGTAACACACTTTTCAAGAAGAGCAACCCGGCACACTGGCCATTATAACAACATCGTGACTCCACCAGAATTATGCTCATATAGCATCAAGGACTGATGGGGTTTTTCTTTCCTGCTGCTCATGTCTTCTATGTATTACCATTCATTCTTCTACTCCTTGCAGTTCATTTTTTCATCTTTCAAAGCTGATGAAGGAGAAACAGGTTCATAAAACTGAAGGAAAGCAACAAATGTGATAAACACCTGGTGGTACTTGCATTTAAACATTATTATAATTTTTGTATATTTGTAAGTTTCCTAATGGATAATGGTGACATTTCATCAAACATAGTAAATAAAAAATAGTAGTGGTAGGTTTTTATACAGTACTCAAAACCTTCTTTTTTAGAAGAGCCTTTACTTAACTGGTTCTGGTCTTTACTCCTCTGCTCTTGCTGTATTTAGTACCACCATCTACTGTCTCCTATAACTGTTACGAGCGCAGCTGGCCCTAATGAACTCCCATTACCCAATTACCGTACCACATCCCTTTCCTCACTACTTAAACCCTCTGCTCACCTTCTTCACTGCTTGGTATTAGGAATCTTGTCACCTCCTGAGCTCTCGTTACTGACAACCTTCAACATCTTGTGCTCTCGGATCCCTTTCCAGCTTGTTCCCATCGACTACCCTCCCTCCTCGCCCTTCTTTGACTCGTAACGCCGTAACAATAACCGTGTATTCTCATTGTGCACATCTTGTGTATTTTTTATCGTTGTTGTCATTCTTTAAAGCGCTTTGAGAAGCTACCTTTAAAAGCACTAAATAAAATAAAGTTGATCAAATTATTACATAAAACTTTGCAATCTAAAATAATTTTCAATTCTATCCAGCTACACTGAGATTTCCAGGCAAACAGACAGAATGTAACAAATAAATAGGATACCACTGGGAATGATGTCACAGGCAACAGTGGTTTTTGACCAGCATAGTAATGCAGCAAAGTCACCGAGAATAATTGCAGGTAATTACAAACACAGTGTGAAACACATCATTTTGGTGTGATGATTACCATACTTAATGGAAATAGACAGTGATGTTAAGAAGTAATTCTGTCATTTAAAAGGTGCTTCTAAGACGTTAATGAAAAGCATCTGGGGATGACATTCACGTTTACAGGTGTCTTAAAGATTATAATCTTGAAAAGGCATCATGAAGTCATCAGCAGCAAAGAAATGTTTTTGCAGCCCATCAGTGAGATTTTCACTTTTTCAACCAGTAGTTTGTAGATCGGATAATTTGCCCTCATCCTTGACAAGAACCCTGCTTGGATTCTTTATCACCTAATTTATATACTGTAATAAAACTATTTATGTGGGAACAATTAATTATTCTACAGGGCCACAAGCTTTTACTTTTTTAAGGTAGACTTACTACTTACTATTATTTTCACTGATGAAATTCATTTAACCTAAAGATCAGGCTGACAGAAACTTAGAGCCCTGGAGTAGGCTTCTGTAACACTTGCCCCTCCACAAAAAGGCCCAGCAGTTCAGAAAGAGCAACCTTTGCCTGTATTCAGTTCTGAGCTGTGCTGAGCCCCTCCCCACCCTAAAGAATACTAGGCATTCCTATTCACAAACAAGAACTAAAAGAGGAATAGGACATGGGAGGCTCCTAAATGGTCTTAGAATAACATAAGATCTTGGCAGTGTGCTGTACCTGTCTGCAGGATGAACATGTGACACTTCAACTCTCCTGAAGTTTCTGCGTCATGTGGAATGGAAAAATAATTGTCTGGTTCCTTCTGGAAGGGAAATATTTTCAGTTCCAAATTGGAAGGGAAATAATTTGAGAGACAAAGATCAGAAAGCCAGATCACAAATGGGCTGCAGTTAGTGTATCCATGCTTACAAAAAAAGTTAAGAAAAAAAGGGAAGGCCATATAAACCAATTTTATGTATTTGTTTGCTTTCCGTTTATTGATTTCAGCGATGCTTGGATTGGATTCTCTTTATTTGTCTTACATATTAGATAATTATATAAATTTCCATTTCAGTCTCCACAGTGTTTGCTAATCCTCCTATCTTGGTATCATCTGCAAAGTTCACTAGTTTACTAACTACACCAGAATCTACAGTATAAGACTGGTATAAATTAGGGAGAGCTGTGGTTCTCATAAAGACCATGCGGTACTCCCTCTAATTACATTACGTTAATATGTGTGCTTTCCATACTCTTTTTTCTACGCGTTTCAACTGCTTTCTATAGGAAGAAACACATTATTATGAACGTCTATATTTTTAGAATTCATCTTTATGGGGACCTTTTTTAAAAGCCTTCGGAATATTTTAAAAAATATGATATTGTATGCTCTGTTAGTGTCCCTTGCTGCTGTTACTTGTTCAAAGAGCTTTAACATAGTTAAGTAAGACCTGCTTATTCTACATCCATATTGACTATTCTCTCAGTACTTATTTCCATATATACAATCCTTACATTTATAATGATCATTTCCATAGCCTTTAGGCCTAATGGAAGTTGACTTATTTGTGCAGAATTACTCAATTTTGTCACCATTTATGTGGATGGATAGTACATTAACAATTTTCCTTTCTGGGGAGGGTGTCTTGACTGACTTTAGGGAGCGTTTTGTTAAAGGCCTGTGAATAACATCTCGTTTCCTTAGGTACAATTGGTAGAATAACAACAGGCCCTAGAGATTTGTTTATCATAAGCGCTTTGAGTATCTGTAACACTTCTGCCTCTTCTATGCTAATGCTGTTAATGTGAAATTTTGTCTTTCCTTGACCTGAGGCTTGTTGATTTATTCCTTGGTAAACACCTGAGTGAAATATTCATTTATTACATCAGCCCTTTCCCTTTCATCATCTGTATGTTTCCCCCTATTACTACACAGGCATTTACTGCTTTCTTGCTGTGGCAATGCTGAAAAACCTGTATTAATTAACCTTGCATTGCAATCTTCCTTTCTTTCTCCCTGATATCTTTTTTCACCTTTCAGTGCAACTCACATCACAAATTTAACCAACCTCATCAAAATTTAAGAATAAAGACATGTGTTTACACAAGAGTGCAGGAGTTCTATTTTGTTGTTTCGTTCTGGCTTAGAAACTACTGGCTAAAAGTAATAAAAATCTGTTTTTTCAGTTTGTTTGGGACAGTGCGTTAGCCCTGAGGATCACTGGGAATTTCCTGGTTTACACATGCAACTCTGGAACCCTTCCAGTAGGCAGTCCTCCAGAGAGAGGCAGGACAAATCTCAGATTTAAATAACAGTGTTCCAGTGCAGACGACGTTACTGTGTTGACTCACATCTGAGAACTTTTTATTCTGTCAGTATCGAATGAGAAGACTGTTTGAAGAATATCACAATTCTCCAGGAGAATTTCTTAATTGGAAAGTAAGTCTTTATCCATTGATTATGATACATATATATACTATACATAACTCTGCTTCAGTTAATGATCTCCAGTACTAACATTAAATATTCAGCTTGACCATGATATTTACCTCTTTTGGATTTGAATTTGTTTACTAGTTCTTACTCACTTTCCATTTGCTGCTTTTAGACTATGTTGTATTAATATTACTGTTGGTTGAGAAACGGAAATATTTAGAAACAGTGTTGGAAATTATCAACAGAGAGAATAAGCTATGTACAGGTATATACATTGGTGGGAAAATTATGAGGATAATTTATTGAAATTCAATGATGTAAGAAGAATTAACACCATATTATCTATATTTTGTTAGTGCACTACTACAAAACTTTATCAGCAAAACATTGTTTTGTGTGCATAATCTGTCAGGATAATATGTTCAGTAAAAAATAAAATTAGGTTACTATAATAACGTTTATTTTCTGCTTTCAAAATCGGACTAATGTACATTTTCTTAACAAAACAAGTTAACACATCCAATACATAGTACACATAGCCTAAAAAGCTGTATTTAAGTCCTTCTGTTTCAGAAAACAGAGTGTGTTGCTACTGTATCGGTTTCTGCACATTCAGTCCTGATCATCTTCCACACAACATTCTGGACCAGCCAGAACCTAATCTTTCTAAATTAAACCACTTAACTACATTTTAAAACATTATTTTAACATCGTCCTTGTGTTTCTTCTCACATGTGTTGTGTTTTCTTCCTGTGTAAATTAAAAGTTTCCAACAATGGCTAACTCTAAATATAAAAGGAAAGGAATTTGCTATTTATTCAGTTTCCATGATGTTCTCTCCTGGAGACAGAGACTTACTTCTAAATATAAATGACATTAGCAATAGCAAAACTGGAGGAGGAGAGATGTGACGTTTGTTCTTGTCAGCCAAGTCTGATACAAGCTCTCAAATATAAACTGCATTTACGTGTGAAGGCCTTTGCAAGCTCAAAAGAATATAACTCAACACATGTCAAAACTTCCCCGTACTTGTGTCCTTGAAAATAAAGTTGTAGAACAGTCATTTTGACCAACGATTGAGTTTTAAAAACAAGACATGTGCCTAAAATATTCCAAATAAAATATTGAATAAATTCGCATTAAGGAGTGAATTGATTAATAAGTGAATAACAATGTTGTCTAATAATGGCATTGAAAAATAAACAATAATATTTCATGTTGAAACTAGCTTAATTTCTGTCAGAAAAATCCAACAGATATTTGCAATAGTTACAAAACCCCTCCAGTACACTACAGATATATTCAAGCTTTTAGCAGACTAAATAACTCGTTTCAGATAATACAGAATTTTTTATCTCTAAATAAGTAAGGTGTGTTGTCTCCAGGGAGACACTAATTGATGAGCTGGCATGGGAATGTGGAGACAATCATTTGCACTCGACATCTCCCTGGAGATCACACATTTGCCTTGTTAGGAGATACTTAGAAGGGTGGGGCAGTTTATTTCATTATTAAAATAATCATGAAATAATAGACATGCATGTGTCTGCACTGATATCACTGTTGAAAACAGTTTTTCACTTGTTATATTGCCTTACTTTGGTACAAGTAACAAACAGGAATGTATTGTATTAGGATTTCACAGTCCTTTTAAGTGCACCCATTCCTTTGCACTCTGGTGCCTTTCCAGCTACGTGTATATTTAACTGACACAAGCGTGAAACCAAAGTACATCTGAGATTGACCGTGCTTCTCTGTATCTTTCAGACCTTAGAAAACACATATAACCTGATATGATCTAACATTGTAGAAGTTTCTCAAAGTTTGAGATTTATTTCCAATATGGTGCAACTTTTGTAGTTGGTGTGATACATCATTTTAGGCACAGACATACAGTAGTCTTTTAATTGTGAAAAGAACATTTTACCTTCCATTTTTGTCATGCCAGTTTTTATCACATACGCTGTACTGATTATTTGTGCACTCTTTACTGGACAATGTTTACATCAGGATTTAATGGAACACCATGTAAACATACTGTAGTAGTTGCTGCAACTGTATTGTAAATCCTTGGGTTTTACAGAGCATAATATATTTTTGACCAACCCTTATGGTTGAAAGACCATTCCAGGAGTGAATGACAGTGTGCTTTTCTGACAAAGATTTTGAAGCTGCACTATTATGCTAGTGTCTCTAGTTAAAAGAGACCCTAAAGATACTATTAATCTTTAAACAATTTATTTCTTCCTTTGTATCTTTTCTATTGAATCTCAAAATGTATATGTGAATGAAACAGTACTTTAGGAGGCACTAAAAGAAATTGTTTTGCATTTTGAACCATTATATAATACTTTTTTGTTGCTCCTTTTCATTTTGCCTACTTTATTATGCATTGATGTTTTTTTCTATTTTTACGCATTGTGGTAGTAAATCTTTTAAGCAAATCGTTAGAGCAATTTCCCTTACCAAATATCCTTCCCTATATTTTGTAATTACATTACAATATATCTCTTTTCCTGTTCAAGTGACACTTTTATGTACTGTAGATCATAACCCATCCTGGACACTTGTGGAATCACCAGCATGTTAAATATTGCAAAATGTATATTCTTCAGTTAGTAAAACTGTAAAACTATCTTCTTATATCAGCCTTGGTTAAGCAATATATACAGTGTAATCATTTCCTGGAAGTTAACTAAGTTAAAAAGTAAATAAAAATACAGAAACAGTACTATTCTATTCTGGGTATCCCAGGAATATATCCATATGATATAGATTTAATGGTATTTTATTTTTTGACTAATATAACCACTAGCAGTGGTGTGTGAAGATTTGTGCAAATCTATTAATACACAAAAAGGCTTTGAGTTTGTTTTTAAATATCTTTTTTTCCCCATCAGTCCTTTTAATAACAAAATAAGAAGAACAAGAAAAATAATAAAAAGTATATTCATCTGTGCATGCATGCATTACAGATACATAAACTATAACTGAAAAAACAACAGTCCCAATATAAATTAAAGTCACATATTTTAGAAATAAAAACCATTTAAGTCTTTCCTAGTCCTTCCTCCTTTCTAGGTAATATGCAAGAAGAGCAGACACATTTTGTGATCCACGTTCAACAGCTGATTTGCTCCCTTTGAATCGGGTATAACTGTAAAAAATCACCACTGAGTACGCCTGGTCCTTTCACATCCTCTTGTGCGCTCGATTCTTTTGCAGGCATGACGAACAACTCCATCAGCATGACCCCACTCAGTCCAGGAACCCATCATCAACTTGGAACTGTGTGTATTTTTGGAACTGGTGACTTTGGTCGATCACTGGGGCTGCGTTTACTGCAGGCAGGGTATGCTGTAGTATTTGGAAGCCGCCACCCAGAAAATTCCAGCTTGCTTCCCAAAGGAGCTCAGGTGTTGAACCATGTGGATGCAGCACAGATGTCCAGGGTCATTTTCATAGCTGTGCATCGAGAAAACTACGAATTCCTCAGCGAGTTTTCTGAAGAACTTTCTGGAAAAGTGCTTGTGGACGTAAGCAACAACCTGAAGAAAAACCAGTACCCCGAGTCCAATGCAGAACACTTGAAAAGGCTGGTTCCGGCAGCCAATGTGGTTAAGGCATTCAACACAGTCTCAGCTTGGGCCCTACAGTCTGGAGGGTTGGATGCAAACCGACAGGTAGTGTTTTATCCCATAAACTGTTGAGCGGTGCGTTAGCTCTGTGGCTAAGGATCTGCGCCTGTGGATGGAAGGTTGCAGGTTTGTATCCCGTGGCTGACAGAGGAATCCTACTCTGTTGGGCCCCTGAGCAAGGCCCTTCACCCCAACTACTCCAGGGGCACCGTATAAATGGCTGACCCTGTGCTCTGACCCCAAGCTTCTCTTCCTGTCTGTGTGTCTCATGGAGAGCAAGTTGGGGTATGCGAAAAAAGACAAGAAATACAAGAAATTGTATATGGCCAATAAAGTGATCTTAGTAATGAAAGATTTCATAAAAACACGATGCGTGATGTTTGTCTCTGACATAACCAAGACTATTTTGGTATATTATAGTTGTTAGAGAACAAAGTAATGTTTGAAGTATTTTAAGATTTATGTCCAAATTAAATATATCAAGAAACAAAACTGCAAATTGCATGGTGTCACTTAGAATAATTAGTGCTGCAGGTGTTTTATTCCTTTAATGTTTTGAATACTCTTCTAGATTGCTAGCAAGCGACATACAGTGCACTGTACCACCTTAAGACAGTATCATTAAGTTGCACAAAGACAAACAGCAGCTTATTTTACAAAATAACTGCAAGGGTTTACACTGCCTTGAGAATCGGCTGTCTGCAGGTGGTACCAGGGCCCCTTGAGATGAGCTGCTGTTTAACATGAGAAAATAAAAACTCATTACAGAGTACATTGTCATAGAAGAATTACCTGCACTGTCATTGAAGAATTGCCTCTCCTCAGCCTTGAATGCTAATTCAGTATATATTTTTTTCTTTCTTAAGAAGCAAGCTGTTTGTAATGATGTTAGTGTGGCATCCCTTTATAAGCTTATCAAAGGACGCTGGTGTTGATATCCCCAGGCAGTCATGTTTATGTCAATTGTTGTCATGTTTCCACTTGAAAAAAAATATCAGCAACAGCCCGTCAAGATCCTCATACATTTGACATCCTTTTTTAATTAGTGTATCAGACCTTCCATTAGTACTTGCTGACGCACTTCACAATACTTCATTTCAGGCAGTAGTTAGGCTGATTTTTTTCCAAGCACTTCTGGTACAATTATAAGCTAAAAGAACAGCAAAGTTTTCAAAATAGCGTGGCACTCAGACTCCCCCCCCAAAAAGTTGCAAACCTGCATTTGTATTTTACTGTAAGCGTGCCAGCTGTTCCTATAACTTTATGCAAGGGACAGCAGGTCTTTCATTGAAGACCCAGGCATAATGAGGATTCTGAATATAATATCACAGATCTGGGGTTATTACTCTAAGAAGGGAGGCCTTAGGCTTGTCAATAGATTGTATTTACATTAGCTGATTGTGCTTAGATAGTGACAGACTAGTTCTGTTTGGATTCTTCCCCTACATGCATTATTGTCATTATTGACAGCTAATGCCATGACTTTGCGCAGATGGAATAAAATTACTTGGTCTTTAGGCAAATAATGGAAGGTCAGATAGCCAGCTTTCTTTACCATGTGCTAGAGGTAATACATAAGTATTGCTTCTTTTGCCGTTTTTGAGTTCAAACCTAAGCAGTAAAATCACACTAAGGACTGTAGATTCGCATATTTCTTTGCTAAGCACTACAGTTTGCCCGGTTATTACTTCTACAATAGAGAATGGAAGTAGATTTCAGCTTATGTTGCTATCAATAAATATAAATCTTATATTTATTGATAGCAGCATCAATTTACACAGGTGACATAACAAAATGTACTTGTTATTTACAAGTGCTTGTCTGGAATCTGAAAAATAAGGCAGCACTCATCGGGGCATAGCATATCAAGGAGACCCGAGACTCCTGAACAGCATGCCACAGGTTTCTCCTCATTCCCACAAACGTACAGTGAATTCGCGAGTCTCCAATAACACACAAACAGGCAAACAGTAATCATGACAAGTGAGCAAAAAGACAGAAACAAGTAATTAACAAGAAAGTGGTAGTTAGAATTCTTAGAACATTTAGCAGCCCATTGAGCAAGATGTGCCTAATAGTCTCCTTTAGTTTGTAACCCTTCTCATGTTCTTATTTAGAACAGTTTGCTCAGTTTTGGCTCCCATGCAGGTATGCTTCACTTTTAACTGTAGCAATAATCTTTTTCTATTCAGTTTTACTTTGCATCATTTCATATCAAATTTGGGTCAGGAGAACAGTATAATAGAGGCTGCTGTTCACCTATTTGCACAGATTTTTCTTAGTAATTAATGGTTTAAAATCTAAAAGAAGCACATTAACTTGGCTGATGTCAGCTTTTTAAAAAAATGCACACATGTTTTGGCTGCAGTAGGATTAACAGCATAGCAGCATTTAAGTCTTGACCCAGGGACGGTGCGGTGGCTCTGTGGCTAAGGATCTGTGCCTGTGGCTGGAAGGCTGCCAGTTAGTATCCCGTGGCTGGCAGAGAAATTCTACTCCATTAGGCCCCTGAGCAAGGCCCTTAACCCCAGCTGCTCTAGGGGTGTCAGATAAATGGCTGACCCTGCAATCTGACCCCAGGCTTCTCTCCCTTTCTGTGTGTCTCATGGAGAGCACGTTGGGGTATGTGAAAAGACAAATTCATAATACAAGAAATTGTATATGGCTAATAAAGTGATCTTATCTGATCTTATCTTAACCAATATCTTAGTTTTCAGAATGCAGGTGAATAGCAGTATAGCAGTGAAGCAGAGATCATGAAGAGAGAAAATAGTAAGGCCAACCTCCCATATGCGCCATTGAAAGGTAAAGATAATAAATGAGTGAAGCAGTGGTAGCCCAGTGGTTACCAGCCATGATGGGAGCAATGTATCTTGATACAACCAAGCACATATTTCTTTTTTCCTACCACTGCTGAATATTGGGTTTATGTTTTAGTTGATGGCAAAATCCAAGCATGAAAAGAAAATCTTCACCCTTGAACAAAAAGCTCTTGCCAATTGGTTCATTGGTCACAGCTCTTTATGCTCAAATTGCAATGACTTCTGCTGCCCAGGCCGTCTAATTGACAAAGGTGACACCAGCATCTGTTTTCATTTGCAGAGGTGTAAATGCAACACATTAAAAGTGACTTCACTTCATATTTTTCTACCATTTCTTTCTCGTGGGAATCCAAGAGGAACCGCCGGACTGAAAAAAGAGCAACTGCTTCCTCGAAACTGGTAGTAATTAGCCCCAGACAACCTCCAGCGGAGACACAAGAGCAAAAGCACTGTGACTTATTGTTATAGTACATGCTGGTGTTTGTTTTGCTTTCTTGTCTTATTTCACCATACAGATTCAGATTTTCTGATATTTGGTATGACAATTATACATTCAAATGGTTTTTGTCTTTATCATTTTTGCTGAAAGTAGTGTAGATCACTAATTCTTCTCAATTGAATCATATTTTTAAATCTTTAACCCTATCAAGCCTACTAATATCTGGAGTCAATCAGTTAATCATCTTGTATTGCCGCAGCAATGTTGAGTTGATCAGTTTATCACCTTATATTGCTATGGTGACAAGTTTTGTTTGTTCTGTCTGTGGGGGAAACTCTCTCAGCTTCCTTCTTTCCTAGATCCTATGCAAAGTTTTCTAAACCAGCTCTATCAGCAGACCTGTGATCATGTTGGCAACCTTGCACACTAAACAGTTATGCCTTAACCAGGTGGGCTGTTGAAAGACTCCTAAGTATAATGCAATATCGTGTCATGTCCTTCCTCATGCAGGTGTTAATTTGTGGAGATGATGATGAAGCCAAGCACTTGGTTAGTGACATTGCCCGCAGCCTCGGTCTCACGGCCCTAGACAAAGGATCTCTCCTGGCTGCCAAGGAAATTGAAGACTTCCCCCTGCACCTCTTTCCACTATGGAGAATCCCCATCTACATTGCCACAGGCCTTACTGCAGGCTTGTTCATATACTGTGTCATAAGAGATGTCGTCTATACTCGTGTCACTAAAGGAAAAGACAACTCATTCCGGATCATGATTTCCCTCACCAACCGGGTTTTTCCGATTGTGTCCTTGAACATGCTGGCTCTGTGCTACCTGCCAGGCGTGATTGCAGGATTCTTACAGCTTTACAATGGCACAAAGTACAAGAGATTTCCAAACTGGCTGGACAAATGGATGCTCTGTCGAAAGCAGCTTGGTCTGGTGGCCTTGGCCTTTGCCTTACTTCATGTGCTGTATACATTAATCATCCCCATAAGATACTATGTGAGATACCGCATAACACTCTACACCGCTTCTCAGGTAGGAACAAATCAACATGCGATCGTTGAGAAAACCTCTTTCCTTTTTCTGTGGTAGCTGTGTCTAAAAAGAATAAATGCATCTGGAATTTTTGTAGCAGAAAAGAAGATAAGATCAACGAGAAGGTTTGTTCTCGTTCTCGCCTTCTTTGTGGAATTTGCATGCTCTCCCTCTGAACACGTGGGAAACTTTCGCTGGACGAGGACCAGAAGATAACTTGCGTTGATTGAAAGATATTAAATGCAGAGGGCAGATCATTCCTGTGCAGACCTTTGTATTGATCCATAGTTTTAAAATTAAATCCATAATTCTCTCTTAGTGATAAAAGATAATGTATACATGTACATTTTCATACTGTTTACTCTGCTCATCAGAATGACTTTTCTTTTTTCAGATTAAGGAAAACAAAACGGACATATTTGATAATACTAGGGCCTGGTACGGTGATTCATATCTTTCCTGTGGTATTCTGGGATTTGGTCTCTATGTCCTGCTAGGAATAACGTCTCTTCCTTCCGTCAGTAATGCAGTCAACTGGAGAGAGTTTCGCTTTGTTCAGGTACAGTATCACAGTGCAAAACATTGTTCTGTATGCTAATGTGACAAAGATTTAAAATGTTCACCAACTGATTTACTTTTGTTTCTGATCCCCTTTATTTATTTTATTGTCAGAGTATTATTCTGCCCAATGATGCACATTCAAAGGGATGCACAAGAAAGACTAGAGAGAATAACTGTGTTTCTGCAAAACAATATTACAGATACAGGAGCAACCATCACATGCATGCTGAGGCACTGATTTGTTTGTATTAAATTAGACTAGTAATCTAACTAATTTCAAATAAACGTTCGACACAAATGATTAAGTATGTAATGGTAATAGTAATTTTCCATAATTTTTACAACGAGTTATTAATTTTAATTTTTCAAACACATAAGGGTGTTAACAAGCAAAGAGACACTGAAGAAATGGAATTGGTGAGAGAAGTGAACAAGCTGTATTTTTTTAGTGCAGTTATTTTTATGAACACTGGAAAATTTGTAAACTGAAGCACATTCCTTTAATTTAAGAAAATATAAATATGAATAGTAATTTTGTATTTTTACGGTGTTCATCAAAAATGTGATTTAAAAATCATTAACCTTTCAAAAATTATCATGATGTGTGTAGGAACCTGAATTTTGAGAGGTAAGACCCCCAACCAACACAGGGCTGCTTAGTAACATTATCAAACTATAAATCATAAATGCTAACAGTTCTACATTGATGGGTGTTTTTAAATGTCTGTGGTTACAACTTCAACTTCAAACAGCGTGTTTATTTTTTGTTTGTTTTCACAGTCCAAACTAGGCCACATGACATTGTTGCTGTGCACGGCTCACACCATTCTCTATGGCTGGACCAAGTTCCTGAAGCCTTCCTCTTACCCATGGTATCTCCCTCCAGCCTATATGCTCTCCCTGATTGTGCCGTGCACTGTGCTGGTCCTCAAATTCATTCTGATAACGCCCTGTGTGGACAGAGTGGTCACAAGAATTCGGCAGGGCTGGGAGAGGAGATCAGTCAAAGTGCCAAACATCACGGACTCCAAGAACAGAAAAACTCTTATTCTATGAATTACTGCTGAGCGTTTTCTGAATCCTGCCTTTACAATTGATACAGTCTATCTTGGATCCTGAAACTCAAATTAGTGAAAATGTGCAGCTATGTTGTGTATGTACACGTTACAGCTTTTTCATGTTTACTGTTGAACTGGCCACTATTAAAACATTTGCTTTTTCAGTACCTCAGAAAGGAAATATTTTATACAGCTTATAGAGACTGCACAGTATTACAGTAGAAAATCGTACTTCTTGCGTTAAGCATTTGCACGTATAAAAATGTATTTTTAAAAAAACATGTACGCTATGCTCTTTCTTATAGAAATATCATATCTTCAAAATATCAAAAAACATCAGAAAGGCCACAAAGAGGAAAACCATTTCCTCCATCATTCTTATTTGGTTCTGTTACTTTGTAATCTTATAGTCTATACTGGGTGTACTATTAACAAATCCCTAGAAAGCAGGAAAAAGCAGGACTATTCCTCAAACCCTACCCACTCTAAACAGACAGTTAGGGAAACTGCAGTCCAAATTTCTCAAACCAGATTTACATCACAAGATGAAATTTCCAACTTTAAAAGCACTGGTCTTGCCAAAGACGAGAGTGAGACTTTGCAAGAATTGTGAGGTATTGTGGCCCTTTCTGCTCACTAGTCACCATAATGACTAATGCAATGCAATGTATGTGCGAATAAATACAGGTTGTGCAGTTCCATTTATCAGCAAATCCCTCTTGATGTCAAGAGCAATATTTCTATTGGATTAAAGGAGATGAATTTACAATGTAGTAGGGCTGCATCATGTCCTGGTCTGAATCACAGAATATTTGCTGTGTAGTGGAGCTGGTGTGGTGACGTCATCGCCCTCACTGCGCATAGCAGGGTCCTCAGCTGCCTGGGCTGGGGGAGCTCTCCTTTAGCTCACGCGGTTGATGCCCTGTTGCATTACGCCGGAGACCCGGGTTCGCGCCACAGGTGCGCGGGACGGAACGGGTGGCGGAGGGCACAACCCCGCGTGGGACTGCGACGATCACAGCTGCACATACCTGGAAACTTCATTTTGTGGTGTCAATTGGAGATGTTACAAGTTACTGTGTACATTTTACTTTTATTGTGGTTTGAAATGCAGTCATCAATGCTGATTCTTTCTAACTCCAAGGTATAAAAATAGCTTTGCAGTTCCCTTTTAAGAATAGTCAGTCAAACATAACCTGTATGCCAGGGGAGGTGAAAAGAACAGAGGCAAAAACACACTCAATCCACAGATAACTGTTCAAATTAGGAATTGATCCCAGGACCTTTTAATATTAATAAACGTGATAACATGTTGTGATAAATGAGATAAGAAGAAACTGCACTGTTTACTTTTGGTCAACAGGACATGGAATATTCTCTCTTTTACATAACTGAGTTGTACTGTATTTCAACAGCTTGCAATTGTTTTGTATCCCATCTGTGTTAACAAACAAAAAGAAGATATGAATAAAAAGAAAGATTTATAAGGCTCTGCTTGTTTTGGTTAGCCAAACTGGAGACAATTACAGTCAAGGAGAATAACAATTCTCAATTTTTCTTCGCATCTCCTGTCTCCATACTTTTATAATCCTCTCTGTTCTCCTTCGTTGTGTGAACTGCTTTAATTCACTTGTCACATCAGCCAATGTCGACACCACAGCAAAGACAGCCGGAGGTTTTTTTTTAGTCTTAACACTATGAAATGATGCGCTTGGATAATGCCACTAAAATTAAACCAATTTCCACATGGTGTGATATCAGGTATACAGTTCCACTCTCAAGTCAGGAAAAAAAACTAAAGCAAAATCTCACTCTCTGCAGTATATAATATATAAAAGTATATAAAATAAAGTAGTTAGCTTCCATTTCATGAAACAGAGGCTGCTCCTAATAGAGTCTGACACTAAAAAAGCAAGAAGAAATATTATATTTTTCACTGAACAACAACTTGAAAAGAATCCTGATAATTGTAGCAAATGCATACCGTCAAATTAAGTCAATTTAGTTATGTTTCAGTGAGACATTCCAATTAATATGAGTAAAAAAAATGATTGCTGTTCACTATAACTGCAGGCAATAGAGTATTTCATTTTAATTTAATTTCTCTCTCTTAATAAATCTGCTTAACCCGCCTGGATAACAGGACAAATTAATTGATCTCTGGCTTGATGCAAATAAATACGGTCTGTAAATTGATATTGAATCTCCTTGTATTACCTCAGGATGGCCTTTTTGCCACTGTTAAACATAACAAAAATGAACAGAAATAAAAAGCATGGAAGTGTGAATAGTAATAAAATGACAAGTTCTGATATCAACTGAGAAATAGCACTGTGTTCACATTTTGGTTTACAACAGAATGCACTATTGAAACATTTTATATCATAGTGAGATATACAGTATTCATTTTTAAAGGCTTTAAAAAGGTCTTGAATATATTAATAAAGCATTTAATAATATATATTTTGAATCACTTTTACAAACAAGGTCAGAAATGTGTTCCTCAATCTCATTTTACCAAGCTAACATAGTTTATACATTAAATGCCTCCCAGCTGTGCCATTCATAATATTACTCAATCATTGGATCTCCTACTTATTACTAATGTTTATTTTAGCTTATTTTTATTACCTGATTTTTCTTTCATGGTTTGTTACATACAAGAAAGTGAAGAGTAAAAATTAATCAAGGCTTAATCAGAAATATCACTGATTCCTGGTAAAAAAAAAACTATGGCAATCCAGAAACTGTCCCAGAAACGATAGGTAAGACGAGGGCACGCCTCATATGGAACACCAATCTTCCACAGTCCACAAATACACGGGCAAGGGAAAAGCACAAAAGGGGCGTTTCAGTGACACCTACAGTACTAACCAGGCCAGCATGCCTCTGTGCTGGAAGGAAGGTGGAAGAAAGCTGGAAAAAAAGGGGGAAAACCCCTGAGACCACTATGAATGTGCCAACATCTGCAAATGAATACATGGCCCAAAGAGCTTACCTGGCTCAGCACTGGTAATACTGCAGAGCATCATGCCACAGTGTCACCCCAGAGACATGTAATGAACACGAAAAAAGAATAACATTGAAGAGGAAACGTTGCATGTCATTATAAACTAGATTTTGCCATTAAGAGACAAAAGTAAGATTCTCACTTTTCAAGGTGCTGACCAGATTCAAACTGACAACAATAAAACAGGAATTTGAAACACTGCAACTTTTATCTGTTGAAGGAGAACATTGTGGTTAACAAACCATCCGTGAAAGCCACTTGTTAATAGCCTAAAAAAACATTTGTAACTATACATGCAGATTTCAAAACTGAAAATATGTGACTCAAAGCAATGGCAAATTACAGTAAGAAATTAATTACTGTTATAGTCTTTACAGCTTACGAATCACCATGAGCCACTTATACAAATGCATTTTAAGTAAAGCTTCGCATATAAAAGATAAAAAACCTACAGTTCTGAATATTCTATTGAGGCTCCAAAGAGTTCAATATGATATACTCATAGCACATAAACCCATGAAGCTAGATAGATCTTTACCTTTCCCAGTCCTCCTGACTTAGTTAAAGTTACTTCAGAAGAAACTTCAGAAAGTCATTTCAGAATGTGTAGTTTTTCCCTTTGTGCTTCTAGCTTAGCATTTATTGTTGCATTTCCCTCAAAAGAGAAAATTAAATAGAAAGTTATTTCAATGAAAAATATATCTTCTCGGGTTACACCTTTCTATACAAAGTATCATCATTTAAAACTCTAATGTCTATTTTTAAACACATCTCATCTTAGCTAATATACACAGTTGCAGGGTCACAGGTGTCTTATTCAGAGCTACAGTATTTTACCAGAGCAGTTCCTGTTGCTACTACCACCAGCCCCATGGAAAGAGGCCTGATTAAACACTCCACTTCAGTTTTAATGTCAAGTGTGCTTTACAAAGCCCTTCACTTATTTTAAGTACATTATTGTGCCCTGTATCACTAATAGATTAATGCACTTTTGTAGAAATGAACCCTAAAGTACTCACGCATTAAGAATATAACTACTGGATATGCAGATTGGTGTTGTACAAACAGGAAGTATCTAGCAGTAGGAAGAATTTTTGTTGATTGCTGTTTAAAACAATTTAGCTTTGTCTTGTCTATTTCAGTTGAAAATACATGTATTAGGACTAGCCTACAGTACCTTACATACTGTACAAGCATAAAATAAAATTAGAAATAATGTTTTTTAATTAAAATTCTATTGTAGTTTTTTTAAACTGGTATTGCAAACTGTATTTAGTTTTCCGCATTTAGTATTATTAGTAATATTATTCATATTTTATCCTTATCTTTATGTACAATATTTATTTATGATCTATAAATGAACTGAATACTTTTTTTTATGGTTTGGCTGGGTTAAAAACATACTTCATAAATAGACAAGAACAGATAGCCGTATGAGGCCATTGCAGTGTAGGGTTTGCAGGATGATTGGCTTTCTGGTGGAAAAACATCCAGGGAGACTTCATCTGTAAACTGTCAAATACTTGAACACCTCCTGTTACAAGTAATCAAAATCCTCAAAGGCACTGACAGTATCAACACAGTGGATTTCTTCACAATGAGCATTGAACCACGAACCACATGGCACAAGTGGAAAACTAGGAGGAAGTGCATTTAAAACTGAGAACAGGAGTCTCTTTTCTACCCAAAGGGTTATGGCAATATTCTTGAATAACTTAGGTACTAACTACCAAATGATCTACAGTAGATACGCTGAATGGTCTCCTCTTGTTTGCAACCATGCTTATATTGTAAATGGAATATCCATGGCCTTGAGCCACAACCTGCTGATTTCTGCTGCACCACAAACTTTG